AGCGAACAAGTGCATCACCTGAGCTGGGCTTGTTGAACAAATCCGTCACCTTCCAAAGGAAGTCGAAAAAGAATTCGTCAGGTGGCGCAGAAATCACTAATTCAAAACCTAGCGTGAAGATGACAAGTTTTCAACCGTCAGTTACCTTTGTTGTTTGTCTTAAAAAATAGTGAAAACCCTCTGCTAGATTTGATCTGAACGTACGACGCGATACGGTCACAAAGGACCTGAAGTTTGGAACTGGACTCGATGCAAATATCCTCAAGCGAAAGTTATAGCCTCTGAACAAGTTAAGCAGGCACAAAGGTAAGGTGTTACCATATCGGAACCATCCGGAAAGTGCACCTTATGATATATCTGGGTGGTTTTATTTTTGATAGCTTCGACTTCGACCACATGAGGAGGAGATTTCCGGCCGGCAAACCTAAAACTAACTTGTCATAACTTGTTTTCGGTTACTATAGTTCCACAAGTCCGTCGTGCTCTAACATTTTAATTTTTTGCAATCGATTATAGCAGTCGGCAGCGATCGGTGTATGCCTTGTCCGAAGGAACAGCACCAGATCCGTGTAGAGCATCTGCGACGGCGCAAACAGTCCAAGGGCAAGCCACATCAGCTCCCATCCCTTATCGACCGACGAGCTCCGTGGATTGTCCGTCAGTTGCTTCATTATTTGGCAAAATACCTCGTCTCGTAGCAGTTCCTACAAGAACAACAGTAGTCACACCAAAGCTAGATCAGTCGTTCATCAGAGGTTACGAATTTTTGTGCTGGGAGAAAAATATGAGCAACGACGTGGACGGCTTTCAGCGTTTTGCGCACAGGATAATCGCCCATGTACTTCATCAGTGCTTAAAACACATAACGACGTAAACAACGGATCTCAGGTCTGTCACAAAGCCACAGCCTACAGAGATAGGCGGACAACGCCGCGTTCGTCACCACCTTGTTTACCATCGTCTTCCGCAACAGGGGCATTTTCAGCGGCTCGGCACTGTAACGCCACAAATCACACCTAGCATGGAACATGGCGTTGATCGAGTTGCCTCTGCTAGGCCTTCTAAAAAATCACAAATTAAAAGCAGTAACAAATGAGTGAATGAACTCAGTGCCTACCTAAAATGGTGTACAGCAAATTCATCCAACGTATGAGGAATACTGTCGGAGCTTGAACACAAGCTTCTAATGACGCTTTTAGTCAACACACCGTCCGAATAAGTAAACATTTCCTGAAATGCCAGAAATACAAAAAGTGAAACCGCTGTTTTTGATTAATCGTTAGCATCTGGCGAGACTTGAAACAGTACAAACAACAAGCGCAAAAGTAACGTAAAATAAAGAATTGACTTCGTCACAATAAATACTACATAAATTTTTTTTTCAGAAGACCAATAAAACAAAATACAATGTCTAACCACATTTTCCTTCTTGAGCAATAAAAATGACATTAGTGGAGTTTATTCCCTCCGTTATCGAACTTCAACAACCAAGCGTCATCTGGACAATTCTTTCGACCGAACCCCAAAAGTTAGCAACTAAATCTCAAAACTGCATTCCTAGTGGACTCACCTCTCGCTGGTTCACAGATCTTCAACTTCAGATCCGCTGAAGGACTGAAACAACGATAAAGAAAAGAAACGTACCTTGCAGTTTGCTTTCGCTTCTAGTCGCTCGACGTTATACTCAATTTTTTGGGATTACACATGTGCTGATTATTACAATGGTTAATCAGTTATCAGATAGGTTAAGGCGAAATGCAGCCACAGGGGCACTCGCACCAGACCTCATGACAGCACATCCCCACTAGTTTTGTATGGCCACACCAAAAGACTACGAAAAGACATTATCTCTGCTGCTTGCATGCCACGGGCTTGTGATCCGTTTCTCGGATGGTTGCACCAAAGCAACGTGGGATAAATTCTTTGTTCAAGGGAACTTTTGGCAAAGACAAAGATGATCACTTCTGTAAATTTGAAGCCGGCATCTCTAGAGTTATAAGCCAACCTCTGTGCGACTATGCCACTATGTTTACTTGCCTGCTGATTACGGTAGTCAGCAATGAAACCCTTGTCTAAGATTCCCAAAAGGCTTTTAATCTTATTGGCAGAATTATCGCCATTGGTTGTTTGTGTTAAATAGACTGGAGACACGTCAACTTCTTTTAACTGCAGAACTGCCTTTAAGCCCGATCACAAAGTTTCGCAGTTCGACAGAAACCAACCATGATGATTTTATATTTATGAAATAAAATTAACCAATTGGCGATCAAATGAATTGTGCCGCAAAACTTTATCTTTTTCCGTTACTCTTCAACATTTACGTCTATGACGCGAAAACAGCAAGCGACTGAACAACGGCTGATGAAGAATGGAGTAACAATTAGTCAACATAAATATGCTGAGAGGTATCAACCGCAAAGTACAACAAGCCATCTTTCTTTCATTGGGTAGAATAGAACAGAATAGAACAGAATAGAACTGAAATGACTGATAAAAGGCCTATCTAGAAAGAGCACAAAGCACGGCTTATTTCCACCGTGTACGTATTTGCATATATTTTATTTTGTACACAGTGCAAACAATCTGATCAATCGGACGACTGATATGTACCGACCTCTCAAGGTATGAGGTGGGTTAACTTCCGAAGTTCTTTCTGTCGTTCGTAGCTGTTCTTGCAGCCGGAGCCAGATGGCAAGCTTTTGCTCCCTGCTGCTGGTTAAGTAGTTTCTTGGCGACAGATGCAACAAAGACCATCCAATTCGCGCAGAGTTCATAGCCGTTGTCACTGTTGACACTGTCGCAGGATTTCATGTTTAATGCCAGCAGAACGCGCCGGTTCAATCAGTGTTCTTCTTGATAAGATCTGCCCGCTCTGACTGTCAGGGGCGCGTTCTTCCTGTGCCACGGGGTCTTTTCGCATTTTTTCTTGACTTGGCTCATGGCAAGATTGTGTTTTCTTCCCGGGTTCATCATTTCTACGTGTCGCTCACGCAATCATCCATTTTCTACAGTTTGACGGATTTGGGAACTATTATTTCAGTGACGGTTGTCCCTGTTTCTCCTATTTGATATTTCCAGTAGTTACAAGGTAGTTTGTAAGCCCAGCTTATCTTCATCTTCCATCGCCGCTTCTCCTTTCGGGTCGCAGAGGCAGACACGTCAGAGCGAGCTTCCAACGTTCCCGATCCTGTGCCAGAGACTGAGCTTCGGCAAAAGACAAATGGAGTCTGGAAGAA